TGACGACTGAATAAAAAATCTCACTGACAAGTTTGACAGTCTATAAAGACTGATTAATAGTCACCATGAGTTTATCTTGACGGTATGATTGTCATTACGGTAGATTTCTATAGTCACAGTGACTTTCATTTCATATCAGAATAACTTTCATTTAGTTATATTGAGAGGCATATTGACGATATTGAAAATAATTTTGATTATCATTCATCAATGCCCTTCAGCTACAAATTATAACAATAACACAACAAATATTTGAATACAATTACATTGTAGTTTATTAAAACACTTCTGTCGTATAAGCATATACACTGTACAAACTGGAAAAGAAATGATAAACAGAGGCATAAATAATATATTTCCAAACAAAGTAATTTTACTGTCTGAAAATAATTCCTTATCAAGCAAAGAAATAGCAACAGGTAACTGTCTATCGCTGCACCTTTCCAGGGGTTTTCCAACCCCAGTCGTAGAACTCGTTGTTTTCTTCTCTGACCAATCCAGACTCTTTTTTACAGGTCCTGAAATGAATAATAGTCTTTATAATTAACCCATAGTTGCTAGATGTGTATATGTACTACATGGAAATGAAAAATAAAAAATGAGTTTGAATAAAACAAAAACATTAACCTTAAATCTAATCAAGTTGTATATTCAGATGGAAATAATGGGCTTATCATATTACTAGAAGATACGTAAATTATATACAATTAAAAACAAGAAAAAGGTTAAATGTATCTTGACCAATTTGAGAATTCTATGATCTTTAGTTTTGTTTTATTCTGTTGAACTTCATTGTCAGCAATGGGTTAACTACTAAACATTGACTTGTAATTTTATATAAAATGGTTTAATCTCGTATTAAGCAAGACAAACACATATATACATGTACATGTACATGCATGGATAGTGCTTGAAAGAGTAATTTACTAGACCTATGTTCCATGGAAATTTAGTATCAACATGAGAGTTTCGGTCTTATCTTATCATCTTTTATAAAAATAATGTTGAAAAATTTTAAACCACATTATAATTTAAATATATGCTATCATTATGCGCAATTCTTCGCAATCACGTTTGAAGGGTATATTCTTGAGAATGTGTCTTCTGATTTGTCTGTCCATTGGAAGTTACTAGTCAATGCCATACGTGTTATGCCATATATGTGGGTGTAACATCAGGCACCGGTACCGGAAGGGGTAGGGGGGATTGGACACACAACTGTTTTGCAAATATACCGTGTTATATAATCTCGTGATATACAATGCATAAGAAAAAGAAGAGACCCTCTACTTCTTGGGGGTCATTAAATTTAAAAAATTTTCGTCATATCTCCATTTGAACTCTTTTTTGTTTTATGCATTTTTTTAAAAGTAAATTTGCAAAAATTTTTTTCTTGTGTCCCATTTAAAGCATTTTGAAATTTTTTTTTCAAAGCACACACACAACATCCCCTACCATTAGATCCGTGTTATCATTAAAGGGGAAGGGGGTTATTAGGGTTATATCCCATTTGAACTTTGAAATTCTGTTAATGAAAAAAAAATGAAGAAAAAACAATGTTGTTGTCAATTACATTATCAGTTCTTTAGAACATTTTTGAATACCTTTGTTTTGAAATTGTTTGTCTAAAACAAGAAAACAACAAACTACTACAAATCATTACTTCGTATTTCCCTGGGAGGAAAATGGCGACGGACGCTATTGTTTCTTCCCGCCAAACATCTAAGTAAAATGATCACGCATACAGTCAAATTCAACAAAAGCTTGAGGAAACAGATAGTCAAAATACTAACTAAACGAAAGAAAACGTCTTCAAATTTGGTCAAAGTGACTAATTTATGATTTCATGTATATATTGCCATGCAAAGCACAAGCATCTTTTTTAACCTGAACACGACTCGTAAATATATATGCTTCATTTTCGATATCTTTATCTACGATACATACTCTTCAGATTTGTTACACCTGACTGCTTTATTATCACTGGTATCGGCGTGGAATGGCGACCCATGTTCGTGCTAGTAATCTTGCATTACCTATTTTTACATTTTATTGCAATTACGTATGTTTCTTTGAATACTGCATTGCCCTGTACAACTAGATGAAGTATTACGTTATTATTGTCGCTACCGAGTGCTGTATAACATACTCCATCTGCATCAGTGTAGACTGATTACACTGAAGAATGACCAAGTCCTGCCCTTTATATAGAGGTCTGCAGATAAAGCTAGAAACAAAAATTGCAGACAAATCTTGTTTAGCTTTAATGTCAACTTCAGAGTATTTGAATGTTGCAACAAAATATATAAAGGAAAAGAGTTGCATTTTTATCGAAAAGAGCTGTCAATTTTTTTTTTGGCTTTCCCATGCCTGGCCCATCGCGAGACATAATCTCTCAAAGAATTCATTATATTTATGAAACAATGATGAAAGATGAAAGACCGGGTTTGTTTATATGCTGGTCATTTAAAAAACGTTAACGTTATATTTCCAGCAGTACTTTAGGAGTAGTTGTAGGTTGAAGAAGAACATGAACACATGTAAGGAATATCTATATTTTATTCAATATGTAGACATCAAAATTTTTCTTGCTTTTAAAAACATTTGAAGCATTTTTTTTATTCAACAGTAGGCATATCGAAGTTTAAGGTTAAAAAGGATTTGCTATATTTGTTCCGTTTAATATTTAGTTTTTACTGTCACAATAGCTACCCCCTTCAGGTACTAGGGAAAGAAACATCCAACCTTGTGTCATGCTGCGCGATTTTATGTTCCCATTAAATTTCTAAATAATCAGAAGGAGGGGGTAGTTATTCTGAAGGAATAGATTTTTTGAAAATAATTGATAATAGGATAAATACTACTTCGTTTATATTCATTTTTTAAAAGTTATTTTTTTAATTTTATCCATTCCATTTCAGACGGTCGACAGTTTCACTTCAGAGGTTCCTTTAATTTCAATACGATAATGACACAAAATTGAAAACTAGGGGCACTGTGAGCTGTGACCTCACTAAATGGTACTCCCGCCTCCCCGATTATTGATGGTAATATTCATTTTTTGTTCTGGGAGACTCGAAATAAGTGTCAGATCAAAGCGTAAAATGTATTGATCTAGTAGGCCAAACAATTCCTAGTTAAAAATCAATTTAAAAAGTAAAAAAACTTTTGCCTCACGATTATAAAGAAATACTTCAGCCTAAATACGCCCGCGTGCTCCTTGTCATGATCGGAAAATTACCAAAAATATGTCGTCGATTTAGTGTGTAAAGAATGAACCAATATCTAACTACGAAGAACGCCAGTCAGCATTTGACTCAATGATAAATTGTCTTTGCTGACATGTTCATTGAATCAAATTGTTAATTTACTTTGTTTTATAAATCCAACTACGTAGCGCACGTTCTTGTGTATTTAGTCAACTGCGAAATATAAACTCTATATTCAGGCCCCGGGATCATGAAAGATCTTAAGCTTAAGTCAAAATCTTAATGTTGTATTTAAATGTTGCGGAAGCCAAGCAGATAAAAATCAAAATATCTTTCAATAATGATTTACAAAATTGTTGTCATTTGCAAAATTTGAAATCAATTCAATTATTAATAAACATCTTACAGCGGACTGAAAATTTGACTTACGTCTAAGTCTGTTTCATGATCCTCGAGCTCGGGCCTGGTGATGAAGGTCCGTTGCTGTTAAGTAAGGGAAGTTGACGATAGAAAAGTTAAAGTCATCACGTTTATCGTAGAGCCTGGTTGTTAGATTACCATTAACGTTATTTGTCAAGTAAAATATCCAAATATGCAACATATGTGTCAGACATATTTCAAGCTCAAGCATAGAAACCTTTCGAATTTATAATAATGCTTTTTTAGTTATTGCAAACATGAATGTCTATACTTGTTAGATATTTATCAAAAATATGAAAGAGAAGAATAGAACACTGGTCATTTTCATATTTTTTACAACTGAAATCTGAATTTATATCCCATTCTGCAAAAAATATATAAGCTGCAATTTTTTTTTCTATTATATAATATAAATAATTTATGATTACGTTGTCAATAATTATTGAGAAAAAATATATTTATATATATTATATGATATAAAATTATAGCGTGGTTAAATCTTTTCTGTGAAAAGAGCCACAGCCTTGTAATTAGATGTATTAAGTGCAAAATATAATGAAAAATCATTGTCCGTCATGGTCATTCGGGAATCAATTGTAAACAAATAACAATAAAACAACTTTGATAAATGTCCTGTGATAAACGATTTTGGTGAAGAAGACACATAAGGTCAGAACCCCCTTAACTCACACTTATTGCCCTTAAATTTTCATTTAAATACAGAGTCTGAAGGGTTGTAATTCACTGTAATTTTCTTCAAGCTGCAGAGAAAACTGATGTAAGTATCCTTAAGGAAATATTATCTTCATTTTAAAGTGTAATATTTAAGGAATTTATTTTTTTTTATTAAAGACGCAATCATTAAAATGCATTTTTAAAGTAAAAAAAATATGTCTGTTGCTTTTTTTATTAAAACTTAGTAGAACTTATATTTGTTCTTGGTTTCAAGTTGCAACGTTTTTCCCTTTATACGAGTAATAAGACAAAAGAGTTTTTGAAATAATAAAACACATCAAAGTTTATTCATGTTAAATTATGTTAGAGCAGTTTTGTATAAATAAGATATCCATAATAACGTAGCTAAATAAAAAAAACAAGGTCTTTTCATCGTTAAATTTCTTTATTTTACCAGGAATACAGTCCAATCAAAATCAATTTCAATTCATCCTATATCTTTTACAAACTTGCTGCGATTATTTTATTAAGTTACATTTAAATTTTGTTGGTTTTATGATGATTATGGACTTCTTAGTTTGAATATTCTAAATGTATAATTGGATTATGAGTTCGAATACTCTTCGTTTTCTCCATTTGTTTCATGCATTCTTATTTTTTATTTTCACTATACTTGCTTGCAGTTTTGCCGTCAGAATGAAATCCCTACTCCTCATTGCCTTGGTTTGTGTTGCCGCTGTCTATGCGTATCCTGGTATGTACCAGAACTATAGATATGGAATGGGAAGGTACATGGGTGGATCTAGCTACTACCCAGGATACGGGTATCAAGGAGGTTACCAAGGAGGTTACCCAGGGAGTAAGGAGACTTTTTCATTCCAAATCAACATAATTAATTCCTCTATTACATATATAGTATTTCAAGTGCTTAATATTCAAATATTTTCCATTGTCTTCTGTTTACAAATTCTTTCAGCTGCTCTCTTGACGTTGTATTTCTTTTCTCTAATATAGTTTAATATTCCTATCCATGTTGTATATCGTATAATTATATGTCATAATGAAGTATTCTCCGTCTTTCGACTATTGAAAGAAATATAGAAAAATGTCGTTGTCGACATCAAAATACGCATAATTAATTATCTTTTATCTCTCATATTGTTTGTGCAAATTTTTAAAGAAATAAAGAGAGAAAATCCTTATAATATCTAAGCATTTTTTTTTTATCTCTACGAATAAAGTTGTAAATGTTAGGCAAAGGAAATAATGCAGAGTGCTCAGTTTAGAATACTGATCCACCTGGAATCTCCAGGGGTCCGTGCTAAATGCCATATTTACAGATTTATATTGCTGATTGAATTCTCGTCGCTATTTATTTTTCGTATCAAAATAAATATTTCTTTTATCCTTTGAAGGTTACGGGGGATATAACAGCTATGGTTACATGAACAGCTACCCATACTCATACGGCGGTGGTGGACAGGGCGGATATTATGGGTACGGATCTAGGAGAAGTTTCTACTGACAAGAAGAGGAATACAACAGGAGCGGATCCAGGTGTGATAGCTAAAAATATATGTAGATATTAACGTGTTTGCTGCTTTTCGTCAAATTATTTTTTTAAAATTGGAATGATTTTTTTTTTCACTTTATTTTTGTTCGTTAGTAGTCAAAACCAAAAAATAACCAAACTTGGGGATTTTTCTTTATTTTTTGTTTTTTATGTAAACTGTACTTTGAAAGTCGACTATGTTACTCTAATGAAGATTTATTTTTATTTGTCATCTGGATTAAAAGCGAGTAATTCTTTATTTCGTTTCTATACAGGTGATGATATCATCTTGAAGAATTTGGAAAAAAATTAGAATAAAGAAGAAATTTATAGAGTTGTAAAATAAATTTTTATAACATATCATTTTCTTTATTATTGATGGTATCTTTTGTCCTTCCCAAAGCCAAAGCATGAAAGTGTAAGGATGCTAAAATAGATCGGACCACTCCCTTACTTTTTAAAAATGAATTTGAAAAATGGATAGCATTCATATCGTAGTGACAGATCGGCAAAGGGATGGTCACTCTTCTATGGCATCTGATCGCAGCTCTGATGTTTTAGAGATCCAGTTATGATCTGTTCCTATTTAGCCAGGTTTGGTGGACTTTTTAGACTCGATTTCTGCTCGTTATCTCCATTATTTCATTACTTAAATTATTTATAGTCTTTCAGCGTAATTCTTTCTAAGTTAACCCATTCCTTTTGAAAAACATTTAATATTTGACTAAAAAATCGTTGTTGTTTTTTTTTTGTTTTTTTTTTGACGTTCCTGTTATTTTTCTTTTAACTTTATTATGTGTCACTAATACATATACGCGTGAAAGACTCCAAATTATGGCCCATGATTGATGCTTACATATGCTGCCACTTAGTAGTAAGAGTCTTATATGATGTCATCGCCTAAAACGAGGCTGAATTCCGACATGTGCAAGGATCATAACAATAGTTCACATCTTATGCCATGCACATGGAGAAGTAGCACTAACCATAATTAAAATGAACAACAGGGAACATGAGTAAAATCTGGTACTAATGGCAACTAGAAAAAGTATTTTAAAACTCTGACTGGTGCGCATTTCTCTTGATGACAACCAGAGAATCTAACCGTCGTTTGCAGAGAAAATGAAAAAAAAAGTAATAAAAAGGAACGGAGGGAAAAGGAAGAAAAATGCCCTTTTTGAACAAGAAAATGCAAATTACTCTAAGATTAATTTTCACTTTACAAAATCTAACAACCAAGCTCTATGATAAACGTGATGACTAACTTTTCGATCTTCAATTCCCCTTACTTTTGCAGCAATATACCCTTTACACTTTCGTAACGGGTTCATATCCCTCAGCAGACTCGATACGCTAGAGCATGCTCTACGTATGGGTAATTTCTAAAACGAGATGAATTATTGACATAATCAACTGAGATATGTTAACTCCGTATGCAAGTATTTTGCTGCATAAGTAAGGGAAGTAGAAGACAGAAAAGTTAAAGTCATCACGTTTGTCATAGAGCTTGGTTGTTAGATTACCATTAACGTCTTTTTCAAGTAAAATATATAAATATGAAGCAGATGTCAGACTCTGTGGTATCTTTTATCTCAAGCTTACATGGATATATTGTATCGACATAAGATTGGAAATCACCATTGTTAATTGACAGTACGTCGTCGATATATCTAAATGTCTAGTTGAAGGCCACAGCAAGTGTTTTCTTCTTTTATAAGTAATAAACAACGTTATTCAGTGAACATGGCGTTATGAATAGCAATTGGTATGCTGGCATATTCCATGATGCGCGCTAGCGCATTATGGAAAATATGCCAGCAGAGCTATTGCTATTCATATGCCATGCTCACTGAATAATCGTTGTTTATTACTTATATTTGCATCTTTAATGTTGTCAAGAATATCAGAGGAAATCCTGGCTTATACATTAATACATTAGGACGCGGCATTTTGTCTTTAGTAAAGTAAAACACATGGCTATAAAATCAGTAAAACTGATCATTGCACATATTCTCTAATAAATCACAAAAAAATTATAAAGTATTTTCATCTCAAACACAGTTATTTGGATACAAGCAGCGCCGTCATCACATCATTATTTTAAGCTTTGTTTTAATGCAGTCGTGACGTCATCGATCAACCTTATTTAAACCCTCTGACAAAAAATTAATAATTTAACACTTTGATGAAAAAAGAGAATGCTTTAATAATGATTATAACTCCAGAATGCTTTCTATGATTTTTTTAAGTTCTTCTATGTATTTTTAAGAGCTGAAATCGTTCTTGAATAGATATACAATTGAAAACATTTAGCTTTTTCTGAATTTTAAAACACCCAAGTGTGAAGAGGTATCGTTCTTTGTGCAAAAAATTGATAAGAAAAAAAAATATAGCAGTTTTCTTCAATTTCTAAAAAAGTTTTATTATACAATTAAATACATTGACGAAAAATAAATTTTTAAAGATATAAATCAGCAATTTCAAATTATTCTTAATGTCTTTTTTCCAAATAATATTATTAAAAACTTATATTTAATCCTTTTGCTCAACATTTTATATATATATATATATATACTTCTGAACGTATACTATTAGTGTAGATCTTGAAGAGCTTGTACTAAACTAGTGTGAAATCGGAATTGCACTTATAGCAGAAGCAGTTGCGTCTATGGTCCTATGAACGCAATTGAAGACTGCAGGTTCATAGTAAGAGAAAGCAGTGGATATGTAAATATTAATTCTGTAGCCCGCATTTTTTTCTTTGACTATTTAATTCACTTCTGATCGATATAGCCATATATTTCATAAACATTAAATATATATTCATGCATTAAATTAAGCAAAAAATGCACAATTGAACATTTAGTCAATATACCCCCTGTTTTAGTATTGAAATCATAAATTCATTGTACAAGTCTCGGATATGTGAGAAGCTCTTCTGCTCCTTGAACTGTATTGGTACTAAATGTCAAACATTGTAAGTGTGTCGTCATAAGTAACGCTGCAAAGTTGAAAAATAAACTTAAGATCAATAAAAATAGTATTTAATGACTTTTAACTGCATAAAGATTAAATGCAATATTTTTTAAAGACCAATACCGTACATTTATATATATTTAAATAAAATGTGTTACCAAGCAGATTCTTCTATCCGAGCTCTATAAGTTATATAATCATCAATTTGTAAACAAAATTATTATAAAGAGGAAACCAAGTTTAAACACAAAAAAATTTTCACTAATATTTCAAGATACTGATAATTTTTTTAAATTGCATATACGCTTGAAGCTTGAAAACGTCCTATATATATATTTCTCTAGTTCTACACTATGTTGAATTCGATTTTCATCAATTGTTTTCAATTATCATTTTGATTCATTCATTTATCAATTTGCAATTTTTAATGTCAGCATTCCTCCTTCAAAAAACTCTATTCTTTCTTCAGTGGTTACTACGGATATTCGATCGGGAGAACATGTAAATGTACAAGCATTTTCCATGCGTCTTTGTGTCACTGTACAGTTAAATTTGAAATGATGTAGAATTCTAAGTAGCATCATTAAAACTATTATTTCGACACATACACCAAACTTAAGTTTCAAACAAAGCACTGCTTCAATATAACTTTATACCATTTTATTTTTTGGGGTTGACGATTGTGCAAGCAATTTAAATGTTTTGTGTAATAATATACAATGCATCGTTTTAGCATACACTGTTAAACATGTATTTACTTATTCTTAATTCAAATATCGCAATCACAATTAGGCATCTCCTATGATAAATTGCAAATGCATGCTTCATGAAGCATGTTACTCTATTTACCTTCTATTTTTTTTTCAATAAAGACCACACATATCAATAAAAGCATGCATTAAGGTTATTGTATTTCATACACATTAGTGCAATATTGCGTTCCCGAATAAGTTTTAATATACATGTGTCAAAGAACGGATTGTAAAGCTTTGAAAAATTCACTTATTAAAGTAAAAAAAAAATCCTTAAAGATAAATGTTTTGACAATGAGTATTCATCATTTCAAGTGATAAATATTCTACGCTTTTACTCACATACAATTTGACAAATCAGCAATATTTCACCCTCATTTGGACTGATATATTCAATTCTAAGTAAAATTTTTCATAACTAAAATCGTGATGATCTATAACCCATTATAACAATAAAAAAAGTTTGATATAACTTAAAAATACAAGGATCACTTGAAAATTCATAACAACTTACAACAGTTAAATATATGCGACATAGTTCACAAACGATTTTCGGGCATCATTGATCGATACGTATGTGGATTTAAAGTCAGTGCAGATCTTTTTATACATATGTATTTAACACAACACAGATGTAAATAAATTTTTGACTGTCTTCTAGCGACGTCAGACCTTCATAGTTGTTAAACTATCGTCTTCTATTTTCTTCAACATAACTTTTTATCTTCATCCATGAGTCTATTCTGCTCTGTTTTCTGCAAAATATACAAAAAAAAAACTACTTTTCGTAAATAAGAATTTTTTGGAAGGTCAAATAGATAAGCTATACATATTTAGTTAGAAGTAAAACAAGCCGATATTGGAACTTATCTTTTTATAACATATCAAAATACGTAATTAAAAAGATTAAAGTAAAGGAATAACTCTTGGTGATGAAATATTTTAGAAATTAACAAAATTGTTTTGATATATATTATTGACACTCATATTTTATTAAATTTTGGGACTGCACATTAAAAACCAGTTTCCACTCAAAACATCAAAGATTGTAAAGAAGCAATTTTTAAACCGTTGACATCGCTGCAATACCAAATAAGCTTGATACAATGATATTTAGATATTGCGTATCTTATAAGCAAGAAAATAAACAGTTTAAATTAAACAATTTCAAAATAAACATATATCTTAATAATTCACTTCATTTATTCCAACCTCTAAAGAGAAAAATACTTCTGCGTCGTTAGT